TCTGCTTTAGTATGGCTAAACTTGCGGATTCGGATAAGAATGAGGATATTGATGCAGACATTTTGTTTTTTGTTCCTATGCCTGGATAACACATGGTTGAAATATGGGGACCAACTAATTTTTTTCGATATCGTTTTATATTTTCAATGTCGTTTTATACTTTCGTTCGCTAAAAGGTCGATTTGTTATGTGTTAGAAGACAAATCAATTTATGCATTGGAGGAATGGTAAGGGAAGGACTAGTTCGCGTGTATGACAGAAGGGTTAAGCATTCAAGACAATTGTAGTGTCGAAAAAGAAAAATTTATGCTTAGAAGGATTATTTGAAAAAGGTATCAGACTAAATGAGCAGGGTCAAGACTTAACACGCAAGACCAAGACTAAGACTCAGGGTAGTATGTAATGAAGGTCGGCTTTCTGTTGATGAAGAAGAAAAAAGCGATAGAGCATACCTAATAATTCTCCAGAGAGGAAAATTAAGAGCCGCCTGAATGATATAGACTCTGGTAGGTACGCGACATAAATAAACATTCGGAGGGGATCGTTTTGACTTTAAAGAATATTAATGACCTGTAGTGGATTCGAGAAGCCTTTAAGTAGTCGTTTTTCAGTAGGCTCGTTTCCTTAGTAATCAGAGGGAGTAGCTCGTGACGTTAGTTCGATTTCAACAATCATCGTCATCAGTTTACAACAGGGAATAAGACCCTCGCGCGTAACAATACGTATCTGATGCCGTAAGGGAAAAGGAATCGAAAAAAAAATCGAGAACCCTGCCAAAAGGAAACAATGAAAGGGCCTTATTTATGGCGTTTTATGTTTTCTCTGAAGCTGACCGTTTTCGAACATAAAGCAGGTAGATGTTAAATCTTTTTGTCTAGATTTTAACCCTAGCACAAGTGTGGAATAGCACCCCATTTTTTGTACTAAAAATGGAATAAAGTAATCGGGCGTAGGTATTTTTTTTGTAGGTACCATCGTATTTTTATAGGATTGCGAGTGAGCCAATTATTCACCGACATACGGCACGCATTCTCTTTCAGACTGCCTTATTTACAAAAGTCAAACGAAGTGCAACGTATGTCATAAGCATATCAATTTTTTTTGCAAAGAAAACGATGTAACTTACACTTGTTGTGCATATATCATATTTGATGAACAAATATGAACTTAGAAGCATTACCTTGACAAATGTCATTTAATAGCATTTACGTTTAAAATTCAATGAAATATTGTAACTGCATCGCACTTACTTATTTTAAAGTGCTACTGTCACGATTATTATTTGCATTCGCAACGTTATATTGCAATGGCAACTTCACTATCTACTGTTGCTAACTTCAGTCAGTATCGATCAGATTGCTTCGTACAGACTACGTTGATGACGCACATGCGAACGTAAAATAATAATACTATATTAAGTTTAATTATGATGTGCTACCACTACTTTTTTCTGTTGGTTCGTACTGCTGTTGCAACAGATCTCTGCCTCCGCTTCCGCATACTTTTTCAAATCCGCTTCTGCATCTAGTTCTGCAATTTTAATAACCGAATAGTTGTATAGTGTTTGCTCAGTGGTGTAAATTTTAAGTTAAACATGCAATTTTGATGCCATTTGGGATTATTTTGTTAATATTAATGATGCAAGTGCTAAATTCAAAATTTGTAATAAAATATTCGCGAAAAAGTCGCACGCTCACTGTATTAAAAAGTGACCTAAAATCATTACACTTTTACATCTGCATCCATTTCCGTATCAGCAAAAAATTTACTATTTACTTCTGCTTACGCTTCTGCTTCCGTTGCGACACTTCCGCTGCATCGCTAGTTTGTACAAATCATTTCGCTAATACGTACGTTATTTCTAAATTATTTCAAAGTAGGTACAATAGGTACTTTTTCATATTAAAACTTTACTGTAAGGGAAACGTTACGTCTAAAAAATCGAAGACGATTTAAAATTTTACTGTTGTAGTTTGCCGCCGTTATAAATTATTTTGAATTTAGTATTCGAACAGTTTAGCTGATCTCTCACGTATGAAATGGCTTCGTCCAGCTAGATGGATAGAGAGGTTGGAAAGTTATAAACAAGACGAACGGCGTCGTTTCAAAATTCTTATATCCCGTGGAATGAGAACTGGTTGCCATTTCCACTGATGAATGTTACAAATGTGTTCAATTTTCAAATGCCAAGAAATATTTTTGATTGATGCGTTGGCGGCTTCGACTGCTGCCTTTTGGAAAATCGTTTTTTTTTTTAAACATCATTATCTGTGAGGAAATTTAGTACAAACTATCTTCAGGTATATATACAACTTTTAATAAATTATACATCGGAATTTACCTAAAACTTTAGAAGTATCTGAAGTTTTCAGGGGGTAAGGCCAAGTGAAAAACTGGGTGCCTGATTAAAATCAGATTTATTTAGTGTTCACTGGCCGCGAGAATAAAAAAGAGGCGCGTTTTTCATCTGTATATGCTTATATCTTTGTGGAGTTCCACAGGGATAACACCTTGGACCTTTATTGTTTCTGTTATTTGTAAATTATTTATCTGTTAATACAAAGTAATCTAAATATTATTTTTTTGCGGGTGACTTTTGAATGAAATTACAAATGATTTTGATTTTTTGAACCCTAATATATTAGGCGAGTCAGAGTCAAAAGGGCATTCAGATTCACCGGATATTACAATATGTTTTCAGAATCTTTAGAAACGACTGTTTTAAAATTTATTTACTCTCCAAGTTCCACAATTTTTGTTTTCTATATTGTACACTTTTCTATTAATAATTCCCGCTGAATAAGGTACTTTAAAAATAAATAGAGTGCCTACCTAATATATAAGATGATTAAGAAATGAAAGATGACAAGATGATTAAGCAGTAGGCCCTGGCTCGTTTTTATATATATAATTTTCGAAAAATTTCAAGAAACTTTTTTATAAAATCACTGTCTAAAGCTAAATTTGTTTATGATTGCCCTATAGATATAAAACCCTGAGTGTCACGCGTTCACAGTTTAGCACACCTCGTTAGAACATTGTTTATATTTCAAGAGAGACTTTGCTTTACACATAAAATTAACAATTAGTTGAGTCAACAGCCAACATTTTCGCTAAATAACGTTCGCGACTTGGGCGGAAGCCACTTGAGAACTTTCCTCAAGGAAAACTGGTACGGCGGAGATTGTGAAACGAGAGAAAATAATCTTGTTGCCTTCAGAAAATAAAATTGGCTTGACGATGATCACAATGTGGAAATGTCACGTTAGGAAAAGGGATTCTCAAGAAACTCGGTTATATGCATGGATTGAAGAAAATACTGAACGGTTTATTTGTTCTTCTTCAACACTAAAGTTATATTCGATTAACGAAGGGGCAAACAATATTGAATCATTTAGCAACGGTGTTGAAAAGTTGTAAGACGAATGAGTTTTGTGGTTTTTCGGTTACTGTATGTATGTTTCGCTAATTGTTTAGTGCAAATTGATCTGTGCTGAAATCCTTCGGTAATTATTATAGTTGTTATTATATATGAAAGCATATTTTCAAGATTTTTGGATAATGCATATACATTTAAAATAAATGCTTATTTAGGTATAATTCGATATATTATCTGCATAAAAGCTACCCAAATCTATTATTTAACAAAAAAATACCACAAATGACATGGTGAACGCCATCTGTAGTACGATGCTACATTTTAGGATTACGTATGCTCCAACAAGGTCCATTTAAAAATATGGATATCCACTTGCTGAAACGAATCCCGGCGTAGCTAACCTCAACGTGATAGGCACGTTACCATAATCGAATAAAATAATTCGAAGTGGTCTGTATTCTGTCGAAACTGCCAGACGCGGATCGCGATTTCGATCTGTTTGGATCTCATCAGCGCGTCGCAGGCAGCTCCGACAGAACACAGACCAACCTTTACCTGCTGTCTTAACAGCGCGTTTTAGAAAATACCACAAATGGCGTGGTAAACGCCATCTGTAGTACGATGCTACATTTTAGGATTACGTATGCTCCAACAAGGTCCATTTAAAAATATGGATATCTACTGGCTATTATTTAACGTTTAAAAGTCTGTTACTTACCATTGTACTAATTGCTTTTTAATGACATAAATTGATTTCAACCGTAAAAAAAAGTATTTATTAAAGCTTCCCTGAGAGTACAACATTATAGGGAACGGCTACCAGATACCCGTTTATCTCCTGAACCTGTTTTAACGAGATGGGGAACTTGGCTAAACTGTGCCTTTTTTTATATAAAAAATTTTGAAAAAATAACTGTCAATGAAGAATTGATTCTTTCGACAGTACGACTATTAACAAATGCAAAACTACTTTAAATAATCCTCACGTAAAAATGAATTAACGTATATCGAAGGTAATTTTGTTTTTCTTTCAAAATGTTAGGGTTTTAAGCAATTAATTACCATAAACAGCATTTTAGAAGGGCACACAACGACAGAAAATCCAGAAATTTCGCTTAATTTTTTGCCATATTTTAAATATGCACTTGTGACTTCTTGCCAAGTGGAAAGAACGTTTTCTGTTTATAAACATTTTTTATCAGATAGACGACATAATTTTAATATGGATAATTTAGAAAAACATTTAGTATTATGTTGTTATAGTATGTCTGATTATAACGTTGGTTAGTTTTTTTGTAAGTTATGCTATTGTAATTTAAACAAATACAAGTGTAACAGAATTTATTTGTGTTTTATTTAAAATTTTAATGCATATAAATGCATATTTTGACGATTTTTAAAGCATATTTGCATGCATATATTTGCTATTTTTAGCGCATATAATCCGAACTCTAGTAATTATATTTAATAATTTGGAGTGACGAAAAATGCGACAGGGTCGCACTTTTTTTTTTTTTTTAGATTGAGATGTTCCACCCCCATTATCTTTTAGTTATTATCAATCTTTAACTTTTGAAGCGATTCATGGAACACCCTGTTAATAAATCTCCTTTTGTTTCAGGTTATAACGGTATTTTCTGCGTCAAATTATTACGAGTTGGGTTCAAACAAAGGGGCATATTTGAAATTAGTCGGCCCACAGCTTGATACACACTTTGTTCAGTTCACAACGGGAACAGGGAAAACGAAAAGGTTAACTTTCCGCCAACGCATCGGTCTCGTCGAGTCCTCGGCGATTCGGGAGCTTAGGGGACACATTCTTTCCAATAAAGAAAAGCTGGAGATGGAATTTGAGAAAGCTGATCCGGAAAAAACTGGTAAGATGCCTATATTAATATAAAAAATAAGAAAAATTGAGATGTTCGATTTTATCAAAGAATTTCTCTTAACGATCACAGAAGCGAATGCCCATTGGGCTGTAGGTCACTGAGATAGTTTTTTGGTACCTATTTCCCCAGTTGTATTAGCTGGATCGATCGATAATATGGAAAAATGATGTGAATGCTTTTTTTTAAACCACAAATAGTATTTTCAAAATGTCTTTGATGGTTCAAGCATTTCTTCCTACCCCTCCTAACTCCCGTTTCTCCCTGTCTCTGAGTAGACGTTCAAGCCTGAGAAGATGTCGTACCAACCAATCTCGCTTATTTCTGATTGATTTCCATAGGGTCCCTTGTTCTCATATTCTTTCTAATACCTCTTCATTTTTAACTTTTTTTTATCCACGGTATCCTCATCATGTGGTGTTACAGGCGAATGATGAGGATATCACTGTAGATAGAGAAGGTTAGAAATGAAGAGGTATTAGAAATAATAGGAGAACAGAGGGCTCTATGGAAGCCAATAAGCTATAGGAGAAGTAAATCTGGGTTTTTTTCTAAACTAATGTTTGGTAAGCACAGTGTGACTGGTACAACTCCTTTCAAACGGTTAGAGATGTGACCTTGAGGAAAGTTGTGCGAATAGAAAGAATACACAGTGGGCGTGAGCAAGATAAAAATGATTTCAATGAGGTAAAATATGAAGTTTGGAATTTTGACATGGCGTATCCAGGTAAAGAAAAGGGACATATCTCTAATTGTTTGACTTGTATTCATTAATGCAGATTGCATTTCTTTCTTTAATACATAACGTCTTTATGTTTTAAGCCTAGAAATGGCGTAGTTAGAAAGCTAAAACACTTGATCAATATTAAATACAAGATTTTATTGATTCCAAACAATTTCAGCTCACTTCAGATCACAGACCTGGAAATATATTTCCCCATTTATTATGTTTGAGACGTGTGTGAAACTTTAAATCACTTACACATGGTTCGTCATCAATATGCTTCTAGTCTAAGACGTAACGGAAATTACGTTTACTTCATCATAAAATTACAGAGGGTCATCAGATGTTTATCTTCGTTTAAGGATTATGTCTGACAAGAATAAAATTGTTTACGAGGAAATTTTAGAAATATTACGTAAAGTAGTTAGCGTTAACAGATAACATTTTTTTGGAAGGTTTCTAAGAAGTTCGAAAAGCTCAAAGGTCACGAGGAACAGCTAGACTAACTCATTTAATGTATTGTAAAGAGACCTTTAGGAGACCAAAAAAGTTCCGAGAAATATAAGATGATGGAATTTTTGTTTTTCTTCAAAGTTACCATTCTAGTTACAAACGTTACTTTATAGAATTTTTCAACCGTACGAATATTAAAGAAACATTATCTCTTGAAATGTCAGTTTAATTCTGAGAGTTTATCGCAAATCTTGAAAGTTGATGTGAAACACGATTCCCAAGAGTTTTACAATGTGCTATCCACACTAAACACTACTTCTCATGGTACATGTATTATCGGAATTTTCCATTGTCTCAACAAATAGGAGCCATTTTCTTCTTGAAATTCTAGCCAGTAGTCGATTTTAAAAAAAAATACTCCCGCAAAGAAATGGATTCTTGAAAAAAGGACTGAGTGACGTGTGTTTTTTTTATAAAAGCAAATTGAACTTCGACTTTCTAAAAGCCACAAAATAACCTTGGACCTTCACTTGAATAATTTTTCCATTTTGTCACAAATATAGTTTTGAAAATAAATAATTAACATTTTTCGAAATAAAATTAATTTAGCCAGTAAACATTAGGTAGTAGGCAAAATCTAGAACTGCTTGCATTTAAAGGTATTTAATTTATTGCAATACTTTTAGAAAAGAGCGAATATAAAGATAGGAGACGAAAATTTAAAAGAAGTGGCTGATTGTAGATACCTAGGAAGTCAGATAAGTGAGGATAGAAGGTGTAGTAGGGATATAAAGCAGAGGATAGCGGAGGGTCGTGTCGCCTTTAATAAAAAGAAGTCACTTCTATGCTCGCGAACGGTTAATTTTGAAATTCGAAAAAGGTTGTTATAGGTGTATGTTCGGAGCACGGCGTTGTACGGGTGTGAAACATGGACAGTGGGAGCGGCGGAAAAGAAAAGGTTAGAAGCGTTCGAAATGTGGTATTATAGGCGGATGATGAGGATATCGTGGGTAGAAAAGGTTAGAAATGAAGAGTTATTGGAAAGAATAGGAGAACAGAGGACTCTATGGAAGTCAATAAGAAATAGGCGAGATAGGTTGGTAGGACACCTTCTCAGGCATGAAGGTCTAGTCAGAGACATATTAGAGGCAGAAACAGGAGTTAAGAGGGGAAGAGGTAGACCTAGATTAGATTACTCTTCGCAAACAGTTAAGGATGTGGGCTGTTCTAGTTTTAGGGAAATGCGAAGATTAGCTCAGGATAGGAAAGAGTGAAGGTGCGTGTCCAACCAGTCTTAGGACTGATGACCTTATGATGATGATGATGAATACTTTTAGGGAGTGACTACTTGACGACTGACTATATACCCGAGATAAAAATGTTCTGTCTCTCAGTCTCTGAAAGCGAGACTCGAGTCTTTCTGGTGTCGCTGAGAGAGACTGTCAAAAAAACTGTTTAGCGTCTCTGAACGAGAGACTCGAGTCGCTCGTAGAAAGATCCTCATTTCGTATACAGTCTCTGAACGAGAGACTTGAATTTCTCAATAAGTGGTGTCTCGATAGACATGGTTAAAATTTTCTAAGTTCAACATATTTCAGAGATTTCAGTCTTTCTACGAAAGACTCGAGTCTCTCAGTTTTTCAGTTTTATTCATTCAGTCTCTCTGTGAGAGACTCGAATATCTGAATTAACAATTTTATCGTTCGAGTCCCTCATACAGAGACTGTGAGAGATCCATAAAAACAACTAGGCAATAACTGAGAGACTGTGAAAGACTACGAGAGACGCTCTCAGAGACGTTGAAAGACTCTGAACGTCTCTGAGAGACTGAAAATTTTTGTCCAGGTTACGTAAACAGTTGGTAAAACGTATGACAAGTAGAAGTTAATGTTGTAATACGTAACTTCGTTTCGTAAACACTATTAATCTACGAATTCCCCCCGAGTTGGGACTGAGCAGGAGCTGTCTGGTAGAGAACGTCATCGTGTACAAATATATGTTCTGTATCAAAGTATAAAGCTTTTTTACCAGTTTAGGGCACACAGAATTGATTTATGATTTCATTTTCACTACCGCGAAAATGAAACATTATTTGATACAACGAAAAGAAGAAGTTTCTCAACATGTAAGATTTTCTTGGCTGTTTAGTTTTTGTAGTCGACCATTACCGATCAACAATGATGTGATGGGTCTTCATTTCGCTTACATATTTACCACTACATATAAGATTAGTTAGGCGAAGTGTCGTGACATTAAACCAATGTAAATCACATTATTCTTGTAAAAGTGTGAAAATAAATTCATGTTCTATTCATTCTCATATATATATATATATACGAATTCTAAACTTGACGAATGTGTGATGATGAGAGTATGTACATGACAGGAACCATAAAAAACGTGATCAATATTGTGAAATATCCTAAAAGCATCAGGAAAAACAAACTGGTCTCCTGTTGACACATAATATTTGCTGTTGACACATAATTCGTTTTTGATGTAATTTTGTGGAAAAGCTCTCATTTCACATTCCGTGAACAAACTTTGATATCAAAGATTGCATGGAATTTTGTATGCATAGTTTCAACTAAAAACACACCACCGAAGAAATTTGAATGATGTATATAAACTAATGCTAATGTAGAAAGAGAGACCACGACATAGAGAAAAGGATACTGAAGATAGTTTACTATACTTCATTTACCTTCTGTAGCGATGTGCCCCTTCCAATGTCTTGGATGCGCGCTGGCAAAATCGTAGGTAGAGAGAAAAAAGTTCGTTATACTCTCGACTCTTGTTCATTAAACATATTTTTTCATACAGTACCTGCCAAAAGTTTTGTTCAATCATGAATAGTAGTGCGAGTCGAAAACAAGCGTTAAAGCCTTTAATATGTCTCCAAATATAAATAAACATCTCGTTGATATTTTCAGTAGTAAATGGTACCAATAACAGCACATTTGAGCAATGCAATTGTAGTGGATAAAACGGTCAATTTTTCCGTGCAGTACTGTACGGATTATACGCTCCTCACCGGTTAAGAGTTCGGCCGAGAGTTGTCTCCTTCCTTTTCTGACCTAGTGCTGTTCTTTTCTACTTTGCGCCGGTCAAACTGAAGGTCACATCGCTACAGAAAGTAAACGAAGTATACATCGTGTTTTGACATTCAAGGTGTCATACTCAGTTATAGATACAGCAAGTTCATTTCTAGCAGAATCAGTTCACAGTAACAGTAACAGAAGGAGATATAAATCATTGTAATAGATGCACATATAACTTATTATATTATGTTAGTGAACAAATACTCCCATTTGTTCATTTCACTAAATAAATAATTAGCATCTTTTATATAACTTTATTTAACCCAGGATGTAATATTATAAAATTCATCTTCTTTGAATGAGGTTAAATGAATATTAATCCCTTAGCTTCCCAGCGCTCGTTAAAGTAATTAAAAATTATATAATCGATCAACCCCTAGCAATTTCGCTACTGCGACGCTCGGGTCATTTGTTGAGGGTTTTACAAGCTGGCGACCAAATCCGCAGAGGAATAAAGACATTAAACAATAATTTACAAACGAACAAAACAGTAAAAGCCGAGAGATATTAATTCATTTTGGGAATTGGATAATGAGTGACGATAACGTTTTATTATTCAGATATTTTTCAGCATAAGTTATTAATAAATAATTCTTCAAAAATAAAACTATAATAGTGTAGTATTTTGTTAGAGACCGCGACACATACTTGACGGTCTTAATTAATTGCTAATCAATTTAAACTATAAATTAGTCATGAAGATGAGTTGAACGAATTCTCGGCAAAGTTCTCAAACGTCTCTTATATGAGATGAAAATCTGCTGAATTCTTAGTTGTTCGGTGGACATTGCAAAAAAAATAGAATAATTAATACAAGATGTTGACGTATTTTTCTTTTGCAACGTTTCGTTCGCTTTTTTTTTTGTCAACCTCTTCAGAAACACTTTGAATACTACAGCCGAACGCTTCCGCGTTAACTGCAACACATGTTTGGATTGGTGATCCAACCTAATGCAAAAGAAAATACTTCAACATCTTGTCTTAATTTTTTTTCTATCTAGTTTTCCCTTGATCTACCAAAAAAATCGGTAAATTTCATTTAGTATATGTTAGATACTTGTTTCTAAATGTCAGCTTTAAGAAGCAATGTCCATCAGATACACAAATAGAATTAAAATTGCCTGCTAACTAGAGGTGATGGATTTCAGTTTGTAATATTTACCAGTTAAATAGACTAACGTTAAGCTGTGAGGGAAACTGTGACAAAATCAATCGCTTTAGGATGGACTCATCTCGTATGTAGACCTTATAGATCAAGTTATCGCTTGACTAACCTATTTACTATAAAACACGACAGCAACGACGATCAACAAGGACCTAATTACATCGATTATTCGCTGACGAATAACTTGTTTACTGGGTATTACGGTCTATAAATTTCATCAATCAAAATGATGAACGTGATGTGTAATTATTAACACATATTCCTAACGAATAACAAGACCTTAATATAAGTCGATATGCACATTTTTTTTATAGTGGATATCCGCATCCGCATTCACATCCGCAACTGCAGATGATCCGCAGGAATTTTAATATCCGCATCCGCAATAAAACACATCCGTCACAACCTTATCATGCACCTTGCTTTATTTAGATCGGTTGTGCAGTCTTATTAGTAAATGCCATTATACAAACACCTTCTCCAGACTTCCGCAACAAAATCGGATTTATAGAGATTAAAATGAATCGAAAACTTGATAATTTATAAGTAAGGCAGTTCATGAATTATCACAAATTTTGTGTAATTGTATTTTCATTATGAAATTAAAAATTATGCAGCGGTACTTAGGCACTTTGGTATTAATTTTCTTGATTTAATTAAGACAGTTTTAGAATTCTTCATCAAGAGTAGCCCGTTAATAAAGAAAAACTGAATTAACCAAAAAGCTAAAACTTAATTGACTTTAGCACGAACCGGTAACTTCTATTGAAGTTTTAATTATCTTCATTAGTGAGAGATGTTAATTGAGAATTTATTTCACTTTGTTCAACGACCTATTTGATTTAATTTAATTAGTTGTAAATCAATTTCAACGAAGTGGAATATTTTAAGTTGAAAACCCTTTAAAAGAGCCATACCAATTATTATTAATGTTCTTTAAACCATTTCTTTATTAATAAAAGATTCCCTCGTTTTATGTGTGAATCAAAAATGTCACATTTTGAAATTGTGAAGGTTTCTTTAGTGATAATTCTATTTGTCTTTTAGTCAGACAGTATTTAAGAGAGTACGCGCCTATATCAAGCTTAACAATTTCATAATTAACTTTACCATATAGATATTAATTAAAGGAAACAAAAGTAAAGCTTCCAAAAAATATATATTAATAGTTCACAACAATTTTTTTCACCAAAACATTGGCTTCTTCAGGTGAAGATATTCTATAAACAATTGTTTTTAATTTCTTGAAACTTTACTTTCGTTTCCTTTAACTGATTATGGAGTTTTAACAAGTAAAGCCTTCTACCATTAATTAATATAGATATTACCTAGAGTGAGTGTATGTCGTATCGGACTTTCTTTACAGGTTCTTCTAAGCACTACAACTGTTGTACAGAAAGCTCTCTTACCATTGGGGAGCGTCTGTAAAAAACCGATTCATATGTCGGTTTTATTGGCAATTTGTTCCTCAAAATTGGTATCCACAATAAGTCCTTTTTAACGAAATAATACTAAGCCCATGTCCAGCCTGAAGATCCATTCTAAATATTGGTGACAGAATTTTTGAAATAGGATGAGTAATCTCTGAGATTAATACCTACCTACTATATCCAAACCCACAAACATTACCTCTTTATAATAATTTAGAAATAGCATAAAAACCGAAATAGTAAATAATTATAAAAATGGTTTTTGTTATAGGTTACATATCATTGAGTGAATGGTGTAGTTCCTTGGAAGCTGCAACTGGTCTCGGTCTTCCCTGGAGAATGCTGAAAGATAAATTGGTTGTAACCGACCCAGAAAGAAACAAAGTCCAATATGAGACTACGTTCGATAAAATTGTGAGCACCGATATTACAGTAAGTTTGTTTTCTACTGGACTGAATTAATCCATAACTATTGAATTCGTTGAATTGGCTGGTCTAACAAAATTGAATTTGTGGGGGAAACTGGGGTGAAACGAGCTTTGGGCTATATCGAATTTCTGTAATTATTTTATTATGAATACATATGCATAAATATATAGAATTGAAATTGGCAACAGTCCATAAAATAGTAACGTATTATCAAAGTGATAAAAGAAGAAATCTAATCTATCTGGAAAAGCCAAAGCCTACCAAAAAGTGAATTTGGGGATTTTTTTAATTAAACCAGACATAGGTAGAACCCGGTTTATCGCTATTCAAGTTTCCCAGTCCTGAAAGGATAAATTTTGCATTCAAGTTTGAGTTTGTTTTTCCAGTAACACCGGACTTTTCTTATTGCATTATAATTGTTTGTAATAATTTTTAATTAGAATGACTAATTTTTGCAATTGATGTTTCTTAAACATTGAACTACATTAGCAAAATTATTTATGAAATAATTAATTGTACAAAAAGTTGCTTTATTACTTTGACCTTTTCATGATTCAATTTAACCCAGTTTATCCCAGTTTTCTAAAGAGAAATAACCGTCGTAAACAAAATGACAATAAAGAACTGTTACACTTTTTAATCAATTAAGTATAGCAATTTCTATTAATAAATCAGTTCAAATGTTTCTTTTGAAAGCAAAATTAAGACAAAATTGGAAGAACTTGTGAAACAAGAGTTAAAATAGTGCGTTGGAGTTCGGTTCTGTCCATGACAGACGTTTTCTCTTATTTTTCCGAATGTTTGACGCAATTCGGAACGAAATAACCTTTCGAATTCTAAGAAAAGCTAAAATTTCAGACTGTTCAAGGAGCCAGTAAGGTCGTCGAAACTTTATATCGAAACAAAAGCAGCCTTGAAACAATATTCAGGATTATTGACAAGGATAACTCAGGTAAGAAGTAATTTATCAAAAAGTTTCTCTTCTACTTCGGAAGTTTGACGGCAAGTTTACGGAAATGTAATGTGTGAAACAAACTGCATGGGAGTTATGCATCATACACAATACACAGTTATACATTAGCGGTACTGTTGATACTCGATTAACCGGACTAATTGTTGTAAGTTATTCGGATAATCGAAAATTGAATGTATGAAAAAATCGATCTTTGTATTAAATACATGCTGCAATCTTTATCATGATTACACCATGACTAGACTACAATGACTGATAAAGATGTTTGCTTGTAATCGGTAATCCCGATAATTACTAATCCGTATAACTAAGGTCCAGATAATAGTCGGTAATTGTCCAGAATTGGGGCTCCAGCCCAAAATCGCTCCAAATTGATTTCTGGTCATTTTTGAGGGTTCAATGATTATATTTGAAGACACATTTTTATTTATTACAGCATTATCATAGGGTATATGGTGTACGTATAGCTATTTTAATAATAATAAAAGAATTTTATGCAGTGACTATCGTGAGATAAGGAACTTAAAAGGTTGTGTAACTTTTAACGCCTCCTCCTTCCACCCCTGATCTCCTCACCCATATCTTTCCGTACCTACAGTTTAGAACTGTGATGTGAATTTTGAAAAATTATCATTCAAAAAAAAATTTTTTTTTATTTATGAAATCATAAAAAACTGTCTCCCTCACCTTCAAATATGTAATTCTATTATGTGGAAAAACTTTTTGGAGCGATTTTGGTCTGGAGCCCCAATTCTGGTCAATTACCGCCTTCAAGGGATGTTACGTTTTGTTTGTAACAGAACAGGAGTTTTCAGAAAAGCAGGAAATATTTTTAGATAGACATGGTTAAAAATATATTTTACGTTCATCAAATTATTCATTTTCCCGAAAAAATACTAACAAAGAATTGTGCAATTTCTATGTTTTGTAACCTTTTTGCCTTCTACTGGCCGGCTAGTATAGAGCGCTAGTGAATCTCGACACTGCCAATAGATCTAAGATGTAGTTGAATTTGTCGTGAAAAGTTTATTTATGTAGGTATATACACAAATACAAGATGTTTCGAATTTACTTAAAGAAAGACCTGTCAGTGACAGTTCGTATAATTTTCGTTATATTTTGCAGAAGCATGTCTCAATACACACAATCTCAAAATAGCTTTAGATTAAAAATACACGTGTACAAACTTTACAAAACGCAAATCTCTATAAAGGTGGGACTGCGAAAGGGTAAACGTTCAATGCCGAACTTTGTTAAACCACTTGTAAGGTAAATACGCCACTTTGATTAATAGGCGGTAGAATCATACAATACCCACAATAACTAACTTAAACTTCCTCAATTCAGGCTTCACTACTCGAAATTGGAACTCAATTGATTCTCCTACAGCTTCCATAATACTATTCTCCATTGTGGCTCTTTTCAAAATCCTGAGTAAATCCCTTTTTCAATTTTTCGTACGATGCTTAATTTATTAAACGTTTATTGGGATCCTTCAAAAGGGAGGAGCCTAAAAAACATGGCGCTGATGAAGCAAAACTTTTCATAGTCCCTATACATAACACCGCAATTGTGGACTTCTTGAGATGACATACATACAATCATCAGAATTGGTCTAATACATGTCTAGACCGACAAAAACACTCTTGGAGGTCATATTTTACAATATTTAAAAATATTATTTGAATTTAAACATTCCAACTTACAGTTTACAAACATTGGAGTTAAATAATGAATCATATGGATCAATGTGACTGTAAGGATACATAGAAAGTCGGTTTAGGAGAACGTTGCAAACATTAAAATGCAATATTATCCTTTGTAACTTGCAACCGGAAGGCTCCTAATCGCAATGTGCACCTTTCTTAAATAAATTTGTCGCTTATTCCAGTAACAACTTTTGGACCCATGTAGTGTACACCAGGGATGTTACGGAGCTTCGACTCCGGTTCCGTTAAGTCGGAACTTCCGATTATTATTATACCTTCGGTTCCGACTTCGGCTCCGACACTTTTAAATCGATGGTTTTAATCGGAGGTCGAAGCATAACATAGCGGCGGCCTGTGTCGACTGTTATGAACAGGTTCATAATATGAACTTCATACATGTCGCGCGGGGAATCCACCCGACTCCCACTACGTGCACTGAGCACTCTATTTTTTCATTGTTTATGTTTTATTTTATACTTGAAAATAGAAATGAAGAAAATTTGACTAAATAATGTTTTATTTGTCCTTAAATAAAAATTCTCTCTTATGCCACCACTTCTGACCCTGCCTCCGACTCTGATTCCGACTCCGATTCCGACTCCGATAAGGCAAATTTAGAAACTCCGACTCCGCCTTCGGTTCCGATAAACTACCTCCGTTACATCCCTGGTGTACACCTGTTTGACGGATCTTAATAAATATAGATATAAGTGAGCGTTAATACGCGTGCATTACGCTCCGTCTGAAACGGCATTTATTTTTCAGGGATTCCTTTTGCGTATTGTAAATAACCCAGTCAATGCGTCTACTTAATTTTAATGTAGCGAATCAGCTTAATATAACCACGCAATGCTCATAATAACGTCTCGTTAAATTCCAAACCGCTTACTGGACAATAACTCAAGAGTGAGAAATTACCACATGTCCATTATAAATTTTCCGAAATGAGCTTGCACTATTGCCCTTGTCTAACGCATAAATCTGCAGCTTTATCCGCAAACAGCAATTTACATGTGTTTAGAACCAGTAAATGTGTCCGACATAGTTGGAAACATTCGTATAATAGTCACACGTACCATGCCGTTACATTTCTACCCTCGAAACTCCGCTTATATCATTCCCAGTTTAAATTTTAAAGTGGCTCTATTGTGGAGAGGAAGTCGCTGAATTGTAAAAGTTGGCCGGCTTAGCATTTCGAAATTACTACGTCGCAATTTATAAACTTTTAACAAAACTAAACTTTATCCAACGGAAAATTTAATATTTCGACGTTAAGTGCCAAACTAACTAAAGAAAAACGTCGGTGCAACACAGGAAAAACTATTCCTCTTTGAATTAAAAAATAAATTCGCGGAATTCTGAAATGTTGCACTAATTAAAGACAAATTACTGCTTCAGGTGCCCTAACATATGTTCATTGTAAAATTGTTCGAACAGACTGAAAATGTATCAAGTATTGGCGAAATCCCTGAGATCTCTTTTTTAGAATGAATATATTTTCACAAGCCAGCGACTTTTCCATCAATTTCAAGTTCTTTATTTCTCATATAAATGCACCTTTTCTTTTGGCCAACCATCAATCCACAACCATCACATCTCGTTTTATAAAAATACGGTTTTTTAATTTATATATTCAATTTTTCTCATTTAATTATCGTTCCTGTCTACCTTCATGATTCGGATTCGGAAATAAAATGAAATGAATAAAGATTTCTACTACACTAATAATAATAAAAAAGAAAGCATTACTATATACACCATTTCCGAAGGTAGCTTTTGAAGAAGCAAAAAACCTTATGGCTACAATAAATGATTTTTAGGTGCTAGGGTAAGTACTTACTGTCTACGACGCTGATTGTAAATTATAAGGAATTTCTGGATGGAATAGTCTTGTACAACATTTTTCTTCACTTCTAGAGCAATAAATGTAGATAACATTTGTATTTTCTTTTAAATTTTCAGTATTATACGAGGTGGGTTCAAAAAGTACCCGGAATTTTTAAATTTCGCGGGTCTGGAGAGTCCGATTGTCAATTTTTTTTTATTGTGTTGGTATACATGCCCCTAAAGTATGATAAAATTTTCAGCTATTCACTGTTTACTTTGTCTGTGGTAGTCGCTAAGGTTCGACGTGTTTTTATGAGCCCGGCGATTTTTGCTTGTTTAAACAATGGAAGAATTGAAGAGTCAAAGAATTTGTATTAAATTTTGCGTAAAAAATGAAATCAAGTGTAACAAAGTGTGTGAACTGTTACAAAAAGCCTATGGTGAGTCTGCTATGAAAAAAAAAGTGTTTACGAGTGGTATAAGCGTTTCCAAAATGGCCGCGTAGACGTTGAAGATGACGAACGCTCCGGTCGACCCTGCACGTCAATAATCGATGAAAATGTGAAAAAAGTGGAAAAAATGGTTATGAATGATCGCCGAATCACAATTGGAGAAGTTGCTGATAAAGTTGGCATATCAATTGGCTCATGTCGTGAGTGCTTCGAAGATTGGAAAAAACGCTGGCATAAGTGGATTATATCTGGGGGGGGGGGCTACTTTGAAGGGTACCACATTGATGTAGACGAATAAATAAATATTTTTTTGAAAAAACGACAATTCCGGGTACTTTTTGAACACACCTCGTACATTCGAGTTTTTTACTTCGTCATTCTTTCTTTTATTAATAAACAGCTCTTTGGGAGATTTACGTATTTTTCTCTTTTCTAACGAGTACCTCTCTCCCACACTTGCTTTATTAGTTGTTCCACATTATACGTTAAGGGTATAAGCGCTCATTTCTGTACATCTACGAAGTTTAGATTCTAGATAGACAAAGAACAAAGCAATTTAACGTATTAAATTTTAGGCATTCCAAGCTTACCCTTTATCACAAGCAAAACTTATTGTCTAGGGTAAGAAGAAGACGACAGCGATGTTTTTGCAATTTGCGACATTTTTAATGGCAACAAACTTAAATTAATGATAACAATACCTGTAGTAATATTATAGCCTTATCTTAGTAAATGTCCCTCGGCGCGCGTTTCCAAGTGTGACCCTTTTGTGTACTTGTTTGAGCACTGAGCGAATTGTATTTGTTTTAATAAAAAAACGGTATAGACAAATAAACAATTTTGAATATAACAATGACCACTGGACGTTTTCCATTCGCACAGATCCGAAAATAAACAACAAAATACAAAAGGGAAACCTTTATCCATTTCAAACGAGAAAGGGCAATGCTGTCTAGAACATATGCTACGTAATTGAATTCCAAAGTTATTC